AAGCCAATGACAAAAAAATGAGATCTTCTCAACTATACCTAACAGAATACATTGTAAGAATAAATTTTTTAATTGAAATCTAAAATGTCTCATAAGTTTTAATAATTGAATAGGATGTCATTTCCAGTCATTGCAATTATATGATTTAAAAATAAACATTGTGGGCTTCCCTGGTGGCGCAGTGGTTGGGAGCCCGCCTGCCGATGCAGGGGACGCGGGTTCGTGCCCCGGTCTGGGAGGATCCCACGTGCCGCGGAGCGGCTGGGCCCGTGAGCCATGGCCGCTGAGCCTGCGCGTCCGGAGCCTGTGCTCCGCAACGGGAGAGGCCACAGCAGTGAGAGGCCCACGTACTGCAAAAAATAAAAATAAAAAAATAAACATTGCATCACTCTGTTAAATGTATGCAGTGGGCTCTAAACACCTCAGCAGTTTGATACCATCATTCATCCATTTTTTTTTATTCATTCTTAACATAGATAATGAGTTGCTCATTTTCACTGGGAAATTTTGCATCATTCCATTTTCTTCTTGAATTTTTATTTATTTTCCACTTTCCCCAGAGAATTTATTTCTAGTCTATGTATCTTTATGCTTAAAAGAATTGTATAGAGTATTCTCTCATAGCCTTAAGCATCAAAAATACGTATTCAAATTAATATTTATAGTTCCTATAACAATAAGCCTCTAAGAGCCCAATATTTGTACTAAATTATCATTCTTTGTTTTAATACTTGCATTAAATTGCTCAAAGCTACATAAACATATTTCATGTTTCAAAACATATAGTCATCTAACACAAACTATAAAATTTTATTGGAGACATATCTCACAATGAGATGAGGGGCTGTTTTTTCAATTCTTTTAAAATTAATTTATATATCTGTAGATAAACATTATCTACTTCTGAAATGAGACAGTTTTGGATCAATATCTCTTAGTTACATAAACACTGAAAAACTATTCACATAAATAAGTAGCAGGAGCACTAAGAGTTTTGTTATGAACCACCTTGAAAATGATGTACCTTCATTCTTTGAACACCTTCAGAATAATATGCCACATGAATATCCTATTCTCACAGCAGTCTACCATCAAAAGTTACTTTTAAAGGTCTGTCAGCTGAAAAATCACAATTCATCTTTGGATTTTGTTAAAAACAGAGAATTACAAATCATCTGAATTATAAACACTTTCTGGCTCAATCATTAGATTTTGAATTGTTCATTTGGTACCCCTACTTTTCCACCCTGGGGCAATGTACCATGTGGAGAATGGGGGTGGGTGAAAGGTGTCCATTTCTTCTGTAAAATAAGAGTCAGGGAATTGTGAAAAGTGTGGCAGGACAGAGGATCTGCCAACCAAACACAACACCTTGTCAGGCAGACCAGTATTAAGAAACTAGAGTAAACAAAGGTGGAAATTTACCACTTCCAAACTCTGTGTCATGTAGCCCTTGGGAAATCTTCATGTACACATTATGGTGAAGGTAGCCCAGCTTGAAGGCTACTGGCTTAAGCTGCTCTACTGAGGCTTTCTGCTACTGCTTGCAGTTGACTTTCTAGTAATAGTAACTCTCATCTGAGATGATCTGAAGCTCATAAATGGTCACTAAAGGAAGATGGAATAGCAAGTCTTAGCTCAATAAAATTCCATGAGATAAATTTTAAAAAGGGGAAGGAGTGAAAAGAAATGAACTATTATTTGGTCTTAAGCTCTGGCACACTTTTCTGCTATGTTTTGTAGGCTTACTCATTTGTAAAATCAGTTAGAGGACAGACGCAGCTCAGCTCTCAATAACACAAATGAGAAAGGAAGGGTTGTCACCAGGTGCCATTGCTCTCAAGGGTCTCATCTACAGTTAGGGGAGGTGGTCCCGCCACCAGGAGGTGTCCACAGCCCTTGTTTGTGGAACCTCCCTTTCTTTGTACATGTTCTAACAGAAAAAGATCTCTCGAAATTCATCTCAGATTTTTTGTTTTAATTTAATTTAATTTTTTTTTATACAGCAGGTTCTTATTAGTAATCTATTTTATACATATTAGTGTAGACATGTCAGTCCCAATCTCCCAATTCATCACACCACCACTACCCCTCCCCACCACTTTGTCCGTGTGTTTGTTCTCTATTTCTGCCCTGCAAACCGGTTCATCTGTACCATCTTGGATTTTTAAATCAGGAAAAAAATAAAACCCGAGGGACTGAATCACCAGTGCAAGTGTTATCTGATTATTACTTCCTGTTACCTTGAGATGAAATTTGTTTAAAATCCACTCTGACAGATATGCGTCTCTAAATTTGGAACATTTCACTTAAGGACTTATAAAAAATAAAAAATAAATGATTAACTAATTTAAAGCCCAGCACGGAGAAAGGAGCCTTCCTGGATCTTAGGGGCAAAAAAAAAAAAAAAAAAAAAAACCCCACAAAATTTCCCAAGAGAATTCCTTAGCAGATCCAAGTGCCTTCTGCATGCATGCGCATGAAATCACCCTGGGTGGGAGGGATACACCAGCCAGGACCACCCTGTGGTAGGGCAGATTATTCATGGCAAAGAGGTGCTCACAAGAGGGGCCAGTGGGGCTAAAATCAGCCCATCCACTCTCCAAGCCCTGTGCTCTGGCGGGAGGAGGCATCCATCGTGGGGACAGGTTTTATTGCTGTTGTCTTAATTTACACAATGGCTCTCCTCTCTCTCTGTGGTTGCCCCGGTGGTACCTGCTTCTTTCTGGTTGAATGGATTAGACACATGTATCCCGTTAAATGGCAGAAAGGAGATGAAAGAACTTGGAAAGCATAACACATGTCACATTGGTAAAAGATTTCTGTTCTTATTTTGAATGTTCACTACTCAGAAAGGTCTGCTTTCCACCCACAGGCAGTTACAGTGGGTATAAGACTGTCCCTGAGGTCACTGAGTCACCAGGTCACAGGTGAAAGGTAACATCCAATCCAGCCCCTCCCTGCTGCCTTCCATATGTGACCAAGGCTCTACTTTCCTCCCATTATCCACTGTCCTTTTTTTTCTTTCTAACACCTCTTTGCCACCTCCCCCACCCCCCAATTACTTGGAGTAGTAATGTACCCAGCAGGGAAGTCGGGGCTGGAGGACACTTCTTAGACATTTTATGCAGCTAGGAATGGTCACGTGACTCAGGTCTGTCTATGAGATTTCACTGGAAGTCTTTGGGTAGCTGCGGTGTCTGGGAAACCTCTTTAAAGAAGCTAACCCAGCTGGTATGAACTTGCTTTATGCCCTTTCCTTAAGTTTCCCTTTTCTTGCCTGAAATTCCAGTGTGCTGACTGGATCTAAAATGACCACCTTGAAAATCAGGGCGACCTTGAGGATGAAGCCACCCACTAAGGAAGGCAGATCAACCACACGAGAAATCGGACTATTGATTACATCATGTAGCTGCTACATCAGCCCTGGATGGCCTGCCTACCTACACTTTTTTTTTTTTTTGGGCCATGCTGCATGGCTTGTGGGATCTTAGTTCCCTGACCAGGGATTGAACCCGTGACCTCAGCAGTGAAAGCACAGAGTCCTAACCACAGGACCACCAGGGAATTCCAATACACATTTCTTTTACATGAGAAAAAGAAGAAAGAAAAGAAAAGAAAACTCTAAGCTGTTCCAGTCACTTTTTTCTGGTTTCTGTTACTATCAGGTGAATGCAATTCCCAACAGTATGTCAAGTACAGAAAGGCTCAGCTATGGAGAGGCTCTTCTTAGTTTAAAGAAATTATCTTCTTTCTCATGACTTCATTTTTTTTAATAGGAACATTGAGAAGACAGCTCACAGCTATGAAAAGTGGAGACCAGGGACATTTCAGCCCATGACCAACCTGCAGTCTCCACACCCGATCTGCAAAGAAGGAGTGCTCAGCAGAAACCAAGGCAGAGACCATGGACACAGGCAAGGGTGTGTCTGGCACTGAATGCATGCCCAGAACATACGTCCTGAGCTTTGACAAGAGTTTGCAGGAGAAGCAAATAGAAAACAAAAGAATCAGCAAAGCGCCTGCCTTAGGGGTTATTCCATGATAAGTGGTGGAGTGGAGTGAGGGAAGGAGGCTGAGAAGATGCTGGGCATGGAGGCTGGAATGGTTCAGGCTCAGTGCCATGGAGAAGGGCGTGATAAGGAAGGTGGCTTCAAAGCTTCAGATCTGAGGCGCACTGGTCCAAATTATCCAGGGACAGAATCACAGAACAGCCTTTGCTGACTGAAAATAAAGAAGGCCACAAGGGCTCAGTAAAGTATTCTAATCATAGTGATAAATGGACTATTTATAAATGGAACGGAGTATTTATAAATGGAATATTTCCTGCCATATCAATAAACAAAGGATGTCACAGTCACCAATGATTGCAGCCCTCCAAGGTGAGCTGGTGAGCCCGGTGGAAACTCAGGACTGAAAATACCTGCCATCTAGCAGTCCTCAGACTGCAGCCACTCCCTGCAGTGAGGCCTGAGGAAACTCAGGATGTAAAAATACAGGCCCCAGACAGCTAAGGTGCATTATCAAAGGAATGATTTCAGTGAGCCCAGACTCTTGCATCTTCCCATACATAGAAAAAGTGCTAAATTCCTTAACTTGAGATATCCGGTTTTCTTTATTTAACAACAATCTTTTGATGTTCCCAATTACCTGCTCTTTGTTGCAAAACTCCTAAATATCCTGGCACCTCCCCTCGCTGCCTTGGAGCAGTTTCTCAGAGTTATCTGAAATGCTGTCTCCCAGGATACAGTCCTCATTTTGCCCCAAATAAAACTTAACTCGCAACTCTCACGTTGTGCATATATTTTTTTAAGTCAACAATAGGAAGAAGCCAGTGAGCAGGAATTTGTAGCAAAGTAGCAAGTGGATAGGATGTGGAGAATGAGGGTTGACAAAACTGGTGGGAGATGCCAAGAAATGCTGACTCTGCCCAAACATACCACCTTCCAAGGCTCCACTTGGCCTCAGGCCTTCTTTAGCTTCCTGGTCCCACACAGCACCTGGCCACCAGGCCCAGCAGCTGCCCACACAGCCACACGGTGCCCAGGGTGACCACCAGCAGGAACGAGAAGAGGGCCAGCAGGTACTGCTCATGCCACCACGGCTGCTGGAAGGTGTGGGGCTTGAGGTGAGCTGCACCCCCTGTCTGCAAGATGTGGTTGATCCAGCCCACCAGCCGCTGGCTGGGGGTCAGGGGGTGGGAGCGCTTCATGATGCTGGTGTCGACCATGGCAGATTTCTGCCTATTGGCAGAGACAGATGGAGGTGTTACTCAAGTGGTCTCAGAAGTCTTAGAGACCTTGCATCTCACACACACACACACACACACACACACACACACACATTTTCCAAATTATGCACAAAAGATTCCCTTTCAAGGAAAAGTTGTTGGCTTGGCCTTGCTATGGTCTAGTTGGGTCCCTTTAAAAAGTTCAAACTGGGCTTCTCTGGTGGCACAGTGGTTGAGAATCTGCCTGCTAATGCAGGGGACACGGGTTCGAGCCCTGGTCTGGGAGGATCCCACATGCCGCGGAGCAACTATGCCCATGAGCCACAACTACTGAGCCCGCGCGTCTGGAGCCTGTGCTCCGCAACAAGAGAGGCCGCGATAGTGAGAGGCCCGCGCACCGCGATGAAGAGTGGCCCCCACTTGCCACAACTAGAGAAAGCCCTCGCATCAAAACGAAGACCCAACACAGCAAAAATAAATAAATAAATAAGAAATTAAAAAAAATAAAGTTCAAACTGATATTTGCATGCAAAGATCCATGCTTGGTGCTGGAAGTGCTAAACTATAAAAAAAGTGACTAAGTCTGTAAGGACTAATCTCTACCCCAAGGAGGCTTAAGATATACTACAGGAAACCATTATATTTATTGAGCATCTACTTTGTGCTGGTGTCTGGGCTAGATAACAAATGTGACTCTGGGGACTGTAGCCCAGGAAGACATCTGCATTTTCCTGCTCCTTCAAAGCATCATGTTGAGCAGCACTGGCTTCGTGGGCTATGACCCTGCATATTTGCACAGGGCCCCACCCTTAAATGGGCCTGTGCTTGATTTAATTCTCTGCTGTCACCCTCTTGAAATCCTTAAACTTTATGACAAGGGTCTCCACATTTTACATAAGGGCACATGAATTATGTAGCCAGCTCTGATGTCCAATGTCTGTGGACCATCCCAGCCCAGATGACTCCTTCACAGGGCCAGTGGATCATGCACATTTGGGGTTTAGGTCTCTGAAAATCCAGTGAAAGTTACAAAGCCATTCATCAGAAAATGAATATTTTAAACACATGAGATACCAAATATGCATAAAGTTTCTGGGTTATCTGACCCCCCAGAGCTTAACAATTTTTCTGGGGTTAGGAGTCACATGCAATGTGGTTATTATTCAGTCACCTAACAAGAATTACTTGCAGGTCTCCTATGTGCCATAACGTTGTGCAGTAATGCTAAGTCTTGAGATATGATTCGGGTTTGTGCCCTTGAAGCTCTAAGTTTTTTAGTCCTTCTTCATTATAAGAAAGAAAATATATTTTTCCTCTTCACATGAGATTACTGTGCTGGTTGGAAAATTTCTTAAGAGGTCAATGGGCCCCTTTGTATTTACTCACTTAACAGGAATCCATTCAAACTTACTTTGTGGCAAGCCCTGTGCTGAACCCTAGGAACATAGCAGAAAACACGAGACATGCACTGTTGTCCTGGGTGAGCTTGCTCTCTAGTGTGGGGGACAGCCAATAAATTAAAACATAAAGAAATGGGCAGGGCTTCCCTGGTGGCGCAGTGGTTGAGAGTCTGCCTGCCAACGCAGGGGACACGGGTTCGTGCCCCGGTCCAGGAAGATCCCACATGCCGCGGAGCGGCTGGGCCCGTGAGCTGTGGCCGCTGAGCCTGCGCGTCCGGAGCCTGTGCTCCGCGACGGGAGAGGCCACAGCAGTGAGAGGCCCGCATACTGCAAAAAATACCAAAGAAACAAAAAAAAAACATCAACAGGCAACCGTTACTGATCTCTCATTATGTGCCAAGAACAATTCAACATCCTGTACACGTATTAACCCATTTATTCCTTACTCTAAGAGGTGGGTTCTGTTATCTCCATTTTATTGATGAGAAATAGAGGAACACAAAGGTTAAGCGACTTGCTCAAGGCTCCCCAGTAAATGGCAGAGTGGGTACTTGACCCCAGGAGGTCTGGCACCAGTCTTGGAGCTAAAATACAAAATCTGTATTACCATCTAAACAATGAAATAGTGTGTGCCACTGCTAAAGACATCCATTTAAAAATCTTTGACTCCCATTGTATAATTAAGGAAACTAACACCTCAACTTCTACTCCGCGTCTTTGTCCTTGCCCTGAATGTGTCTAGCAAGCAGGATTTTACTACCTATTATTCCTGCCAAAACTCAGTAAAAAGGCGATTTGTTCTTTTTCGGAGAAACAAAGAAAAGGGTTTTAAGCCAAACTTGGACACAATTTACAGCAGTCTGCCTACAGCAGAGGTTCTCGACCTTGTACCCAGAACCTTGGTTCATTACAGAAAAACTCTCAATAAAGAAGTGGGAAATTCAGATATGGGCAGAAATGTACATAGGGCACTGTCTTCTCTTGGGGATGAAGAGGGAAGAACCAGGGGTGGGATTCACTGAAGAGGATGCTCACTGGTGAGAGTTTAAAATCCTTGGAAGGCAACTTGGCAAGAGCTATCCAAAACTTGAGAACGGAACCTAATCCCTGAGCTGGCAATTCCACTTAGAAATGCACTCAAAGGTTCACTTCTGTCCATACCAAAGTTGCTTATAAAAGGGAAAAACTGGGCTTCCCTGGTGGTGCAGTGGTTGAGAGTCCGCCTGCTGATTGATGCAGGGAACACAGGTTCGTGCCCCAGTCCGGGAAGATCCCACATGCCGCAGAGCGGCTGGGCCCGTGAGCCATGGCCGCTGAGCCTGCACGTCCGGAGCCTGTGCTCCGCAACGGGAGAGGCCACAGCAGTGAGAGGCCCGCGTACCGCAAAATAAATAAATAAATAAATAAATGGGCAATTACAGATCCTGTGACGTGTTAAGAAAAAAATAATGTGCTATAATTCGGGTGGATAGGAGAGAAGGCTTTGGGACTATCAGAGAAAGACGGTCTCTCCGAGCAGGTGGCATTGGGATGAGGCCTCAATGTCATGAAGGAGCCAACCCTGTGAAGAGAAGGGAATGTGTTTTCTAGGGAGCGGCACAGGCAAAACGGCTGAGGTGGGGGGCAGTGTGGGATATTGGGAACAGAAAGGCAACCTCCTGCCTCAGTTGGAATTCTACTATAAGCACCTCCAAAGTAGAAGACCTCTCAAAGACACCCTGTGTCAGTAGTTCGGGTTCCTCACAACTAGAAGGTATAAAATCATTCTCAGCATCTAACCTAAACTGCTCTAGTCGTCCTCTCATAGGAAATAAGTCAGCTGTTAGCATCACACACATATTATTTCACGTCCTGGAAATTTCAGTTTTATTGCAAAAAAGACCCACACGGTGCCCGTTGTGGTTTACATCTTCATTCAGTGTGAGTAACCACAAGCCCAGAGAGCTGCACACCTCTTGTCCTCTATGACTTGCTTCATGTTCAAAGCCAATGTCTCAGCCTTGATCTGCTTTAACTGTATGGAGACACCGAAATTTTTGGCTTCTACTAGGAGCAGGTTTTCAGGCTGGTCTCCAAAGAGGGGAATCTCCACCATGGGCACGCCATGTTGGATGGCCTCCATAACACTATTTATCCCACCATGGGTGACAAAAAGGTGGACGTGAGGGTGCCCTGTTGCAAATAACAAAGACAGCAGAACATTTCAGGATGAAAAGTTTCAGAACAAGGAAAGCAGAAAAGGCAGAAGAAAATACCAATGTGACTTAAAGTGTGTTGGAGCCATTGTGAAGATGACTTTGCTTGCTACACACCCAAGGATTCCAAGCCTTGCCTTTGTATAGAGACTCCTTGACTCAGCCAGAACCCAGGGAATTCTGTAGAGAATAGTGCTAAGCAAGGCATATATCTCCATCCATCCATCCATCCATCCATCCATCCATCCATCCATCCATCCATCATTCCATCTATCCATTCCATCGTTCCATTCCTTCTCTCTATCCCCTCATGTCTCTTTGCTTCTCTCATCTGTTTTCTCTTTGTGTTTCCCTATGTCTATCTCTGTCTCTCTCTGTCTCTTCCTTTCCTTGAGCAAACTTTTCTCTCCCTCTTCTCTGAATTCCCAACACATTCACTGACATCACAACTCATGTAGCACTCATAAAGCTTACACTGTATGTGCTGTTCTCTTTAAATATATGAGAAGCCGCTTGAAAGCAAAGACTGGACTCTGCACATCAGTATTTGCTAGCCTTTGCTTACTTAGAGCTAACTAAGGTGACTGTTGATAATAAAGAGTTCATCTCAGCCTGTGCTGGCCAACTGCGATGTGAGTAAGAACCTCCTTGTTTCTTCTTTGAAATGAGAATCATATCCCATGTCCAAGACTTAAAGAAATACATTTGCAGATGTGGAAACAGGAATGTTTTTAAAATTCTACAGATTATTTTGTCATAATCTTGGTTATGAGCCTCTGATCCAGTCAGTGGCTATGGCAGTGAGGGGTCTCTAAGAAGAAGCAGTAGGCACAGAGATAACCTGTTGTGGGTGAGAAAATTCTCCGGTATCAGAGACTCACTGTGCCAAATAACTGGCCAGGAGGTTGCTCAGCTTGGCACTCAGGTACATTGGCATCAGTATCATGAATGTGTGAGTTGCTCACACCTTAGTAGCTAAGGCAGATATGTGTATGAGTGTCTGTGAGTGTGTAAGGGAACATGGGTGAACTTGTGCACATAAAGCCACTGAATACAGTGGCAATGTGCCCCCTGGTATGTGTTCTCAGAGCTCACAGATTGTTTAGGATTATTTTGTGGTGACCTTGTTCAAGACCAAAAGCAGTAGGTCACTGTGACTTTGATGGCTGCAGACATCAGGCCTGGGATAGAAAAGAATGAAGGGCAAAAGAACATCAGGAACATCAAAGAACATCAGGGAATTCTTTACTCAGCCCCATTAGTCCATGTGGTCAGTTAACAAGGAATAGAATACTGGCACATAAGACAAGGGGCTGGCTTTCCAAGCTTCTCAGCAACCAAGAAAGGCCAGTAGTCAAAAATTTCCACTATCACCAGGTCAAAGTTCTCTTTTTTTTTTTTTTGCAGTACGTGGGCCTCTCACTGTTGTGGCTTCTCCCATGGTGGAGCACAGGCTCCGGACACACAGGCTCAGCGGCCATGGCTCACGGGCCCAGCCGCTCCGCGGCATGTGGGATCTTCCCGGACCGGGGCACGAACCCACGTCCCCTGCATCAGCAGGCGGACTCTCAACCACCGCGCCACCAGGGAAGCCCAGAAGTTCTCATTCTTTAAGGAATTCATAGTATCATTTCTCCTTAGCAAATGACTGCACTGAAGCCCTAGTTGCTCCAAAATAGTTAAAACATGTTCAAATGTGCTTCTGTAAGAAAAATAAATAAATGATAAATATTCATTGGAAGTGTTAATATCACAATACATAAAAGAATCTTGGTCTACTGACAGATGAATGGATAAAGAAGATGTGTTATACATATACAATGGACTATTATTCCACCACAAAAAAGAATGAAATAATGTCATTTGCAGCAACATGGATGGACCTTGAGATTATCATACTAAGTGAAGTAAGTCAGACAAAGACAAATATCATATATCACTTATATGTGGAATCTTAAAAAATAACACAGATGAACTTATTTACAAAACAGAAATAGACTCACAGACATAGAAAACAAACTTATGGTTACCAAAGGGGAAAGCAGGGGAAGGGATAAATTGGAAATCTGGGATTAACAGATACATGTTACTATATATAAAATAGATAACAGAGGTCCACTGTATAGCACAGGAAACTATATTCAATATCTTGTAATAACCTATAATGGAAAAGAATCTGAAAAAGAATATATATATATATATATATATATATATATATACA